CTCGCCCCTGCCAGTCTGTCCACCAGCATCTCCAAACATGCTCCCCTCGCTCTGTTTCTGCCACACAGGCCTTCTCTTTGCCCATCCTCTTCCCTTTGCCTGCAAAACCCTTCCCAAGACCTCTACACAGCTCATCCTCACCTCATGCAGCCCTCAGCCCATATTCCACCTCCTTGGAGAGGCCCACCCCAACCACCCTATCTAAAAGAGCCACACCTGCTCCCTGGCATTCCAATAGCTCCCTGCCCTGCTTCATTTTTTTCCCCATAGCACTTATCGCCATCTGACCCAGGTGTTATATATCACATATAACATATATTGTAGTTTATTTGTTTATTGGCTCCTCCTTTAGGCTATTGAGCTCCAAGAGGGCAAGGACTTTGTCTTGTTCACTGCTCGATTCCCAGCACTTAGAACAGTGCCTAGTATACAGCAGGTGCCTCATACATGTCTGCTGAATGAATGACTGCAGATTAAATGAATGGCTGCCATGTAAATATGGCTTCAAGGGACTTCTGGGCCCCCTTGCTGTCCTGCCACGTGCTCAGTGAACAAATCTTTGTTCCACAGGGAGCAAAGCCCAGGCCGATGGTACTAATCATTGCCAGCAGTTTCTGAGCATTTAATGATGGAACAAGCCCCTTGCTGAACCCTTACACGTTATCTCATTAAACCTTGAAACAACCCAAGAGGCAGGTGGTTACAATTATGGCTCCTAGTTTACAACGGGTGAAAGATTATTTGGCTTGTCAAGGTCACATATAAGAAGTAGTAGAGTCTGGATTTAAACTGAGGACATTTGAATCTAAAGTCCGTGCTCTCAACCATTATGCCGAGAATATAGTTTCCCGGAGGGGAGATCCAGAGGCTGACGTTCACTTCCAGTAGGTCACTAACTCATTCCAGAACTTCTCTGTTGTGCAGGGCTTCTTAGGTGACACAGAGTGCAGTGTCAGGGCCTAGGCATAGAGAGGGCATTAGAGGGAGGGCGCCCAAATCCCAATTGCCTAATTTTTTCCCCATTTGGGGTTCCCAGATCCTGAGAGCCTGGCAGGAATCCCATGTCAGATCATCTCCCACTAATTGGCTTAGCAAACCATGCTTATCTGGGCGAAGCTGGGGCCCAATGAGTTCAAGATTAGGAAAAGCAGGATCCATGGCTTACTGCTCTGCTGCCTACAGGGTCGTAGGGGACAGGGTTAGGACTTTAATTGGTTTAAGAGCCCTGGGCAGTTTAACAGCTCAGAGAGTTGGAAGGGCGGGGAGGGATGAAGACTCAGGTTGGTGTCCAGGCCACAGCCAACTTGGTGCCCCACCAAAGGATCTGTTTGCTGTTCTCTCAGAGGTTCAATCTATGTGTACACAAAGACATTGTTTTGGGATATCCCAGAGTAGCCATTGTGTGGTGTAAAAGACAGAGCTGGTTTGGGACTGATCACTTTTCCTCACTTCCTCAGTGGGTGATTTTTGGACAAAGTTACTTGACTTCTCTGAGTCTCACTTATCTGATAAATGGGTATATCAATAATCACCAGGCAGAAGGTTTCAGAGTAACATGAGATCACATGCCTGAAACACTTACATGGGGCCTGCGGGGACATGGTAGGTGTGCAGTGTCTGTGAACACTTTCTCCTCCTCACTCTCTTCAGAGCTTCATTTTATGTTTAAAATAATAATGAAATCTTCAGTGTGAAAAGGCCATATCAATTTGAAGAGCTAAACCAGAGGTGACAAAAAAGACAGGCTAATAAATGTGTTTCCTTTGGTTGACACTATTTTTAAAAATCTTAATTAGTAGTTGAATTTTGGAGTGTTCACTGAAAAATCCCAATTTCCCATTTCTCTTGAGAAATCAAGACTAGGTCCACGATTTCTAATGGCATGTTCAGCTGGAGCTTCCCTGTGCCTCAGACACTATTGCCCTCAAATGTCCTCTTGTCTGACACCCCTCATACCTATGGTATGTTACCTGCCTGGATCCTCAAAGCATTTGAATTTTTAATTCAGCATTTTACAAGCCTAAGAAGTTGAAAAATATCTTCATGATTATAATTATTTTATTCAGAGTTGAGGGAATGGGATTAGGAGACGAATGATTGCCTAGCCTCCTAGGTGTGATTCTGGAAGGCTCAATCACACATCTCCCTCATTACCCCAGGCCCCACCACTTAGAACATCTGTGGGAACATCTCACGTGGTAAGCAAACATGCTGGGCCAACATTGCTTAATTTCTAGGAATGCCAGCCCCTGCAGCTTCTCTATACCTTCTCTGGATTTTCCTCCCATTTATCCAGGCCCTCAGCCATTTTAGAATCCAAAGCTTTTGGGGCAAGGGTCCTGAGGCTTTTGCTTTGACAATAGATCCAGAGTCAGAATTTCAGGAATGGGAAGCTCTTACGGTCATCACATCAAATCTCATTTCACATACAGAGAAACTGAGACCCAAAGATGGAAAGAGCCTTGCCCAAGGTCACCTAGCAAACTGTAGTTACAAACCAGGATAAAGATGTCAGCCTCCTGACCAGACCACCCCCCAGTTCAGCCCCTTCCCGAGAATACGCACTGTTCCCATCCTCATCCACACAGTTCAACTCTCTGCCCCTCTTTTCACATTCTTATCTCAGTGCAACAGAAGCCCTGACTTTCTATCATCCTAGAATCTTGGAATCTCAAATTCATACTTCTTTAAGCTTGAGGGTCACTTTAGTGGCAGAATTGCAAGGTGGATAAATTGAACTCAGGCTTCGAAGGCAGAGAGCCTAGAGTCCCAGCTTTTTGAGATACTAGCTGTGTGACCTTGGACAAGGATGCCCCCTCTCTGAGCCTCCATTCCCTCATCTGTCAAGTAGAAATTATAATGCTAACCACATGACAGGATGATTAGAAGGGGTACAGGAGATAAAGCAGGTAAAAAGGCAACCAGTAGGCTTGGCACAAAGTGAGTATTTAATAAAATAATTGTTATAGAACTGTAAATTAGGGCTTTCATGTCTAAGTGAAATAGTACAGATACGATCAAAGGAAAGGATGAACAAATTAGAGTACATAGACTCTTTCTAAATTATTACAGGCTTGATACTGCTAGATCCAGTTTTTTTAAAGGGAAGCAACAACTCTGGTTTTTTTAAAAATACTATACAAGCCACACAAAACACTTCCATAAGCCACATTCAACCCAAGAGCTATTAGATTGTTATCCCTACAAACTCATCTGATCCCAGCTCCCTCATTTTGCAAACGGGGGATAGTAGAAATAGCTAGCCCTTTTATCCATATCCAAGAAACCTCAGACCTGAGGGGATCCTTAGCAATTCTAGCTACTCCCCTGAAGCCCCACACCCGTGGCCGTTTTTGCCCTATTTGAGGGAAACTCAGTTTACTCTTAACAAAGAGGAGAAATATTAGTTTCTTGTAAGTGGATTCTGAATGGGGGAATAGCCAGTGGTCGAGGGGCATCTGGCCCACTTTGGGCTGAAGGAAAAGGGGGGATGAAGCTTGGCTACCAAGAATAGGAAGTTACCATTTCAGAATCTAAAAATATCTTTCACCATCTGTCCACTCGGGCACAGAATGATAAATGCAGATTAGTTCCTGGATGTAGACATGAATATTTTTATGTGTCACACTAATAATAATAACACCACCTTGTGAGGATAGAGCTCCGCCCCCCCTTGTCCCCCAGGGTAAGCTAAGAGGAATATACACACCATCTTGGCAGGAATAGTTAGGGAAACAAAGGCAGAGAGATTTGACAACACAACAAGAGTGACACAGCAAGTGAGCAGCTGGGACAAACCCTGGGAGTCCTGTTTTCAACCCTCAGCCCCAAACTGGATCTTCTGAGTTAGGCAGAATGTGTTAACAAGTAGCGGAATAAATATAACCACAGTAATAATCACCCTTTATATCACTAGAGTGACTTTTTCCATGCTTTCCCCACACTCTTAAAATGTTACAGTCTGCAGGGCCCTCATACAGACCTCTCACCTGACCATCCCAACAGGTAAGAATAATGCAATGATAAGACAATGAGATAAGAGCAGTAGGGATTCTCCCTTACTTCACAGACAAGGAAACTGAGGCTTGAAAGGAGGAGAGCGGCTTGCCTAGGATCATATAGTAAGCAAGTTCATTCTGTCAGAGCACAGAAGGGCCTAAGCTACTAAATAGCAATTCAGATTCAAGAGGAGCCCTAGGCTTAGAATTCCCCCTCTTTCCAGTTAACTCAGCACAGCAGGCACCCTTAGTCCTGGCAGAAGAAGAAGACTGAAAGTGGGCAGCTTGAACAAAGCCTCAGTTTTGCCTTACCATTTTGGAATTAAAGGGCAGCCAGTGGCCATCTAATCTCAGATTCAATATTCCAAATACCCTTGGCCCTGTTGGAACGGGAGGACTCTTAGTGGGGGTAGAGGGGGCCAAAGGAAGTACAAGGAGCCTGAGGGCTCCCAGTTGGGTCCAGCATATCTTTTTCCAAAAAGTCCAAGAAGTTTAGGCGGGATATTCAGTTAGCTGTCTCAAATTCTGTGACTCTCTTTGGAGGTTGTGAATGAGCTGCCATTCTGAACAGAGGATCTTTGAGATCAGGAAAGGACTTCTGAGCTCTTTCCTGAGCCCAGGCTTGGCACTCAGACAGAGTATGGTGGGTTAGGGCAGGAGGGGGCCCTGTGGTTCTGTTTCAAGTTTCACACTTATCCTCATGAGCCCCAGGTCCTCCCCACTCACACACACCCCTAAGGATCTCTTTCTCTCCTTTCTTACCCCATCCTCTCCCCTCTCAAAGTCCAAGTCAAAGGGGATGGCACTGGGGTTGGGTAGGGCTTGGGGGCAGAGGTCAGGAGAAGCCCACTGACAGGAAATTAGAGCTGCAATGGGGTGGGGCGTGGCGAAGGTCAGGACAGGAGGGTAGCCTGGAAAGGTCAGATCAGGGCTGGGATGGCAGGTAGCCCCTGGTCACCCCCACCCCTCGGGCTCAGCTCCCTCCACCTGCGCTTCTCCTACCTCCAGACCTGGCCGAGCTGCAGAAGGTGGACGAGGGTCTGCAGCAGCCAGACGCAGAGGCGGCAGCAGCGGCGGCGGTAGTCGCTGGCGGAGGAGGGAGCAGGCTGGGGACTCGGCTCGGGGCTGTCTTCTTTGGTCCTGAGGGCGCTGGCGCTGTCCTTGGTGCTGATGGCGGCTCCGCCGGCGACGCTGTCCTTGGTGCTGACGGCGGGTCCCGGGGCCCCAGCGGGCTCCGAGTAGTCGTAGACGAACCAGCGGAAGCTCAGCAGCTGCACGACCAGCGAGGGCAGGAGCACGAACAGCAAGGTGAGGCTGAAGAAGGTGCGTTGACCCTGCAGGTAGTAGGAGGCCGCCAGCCACAGGTCGGTGGCGCCGTCGGAGAAGAACACGAGCAGCGCGCACAGCACCCAGCAGCAGTCCCGCAGTTCGTAGCGCGGCCCTGGACCGCCCGCCCCGACGCCCCCCGGCGTCCCGGCCGGCACCGCCGCCTCCCCGCGGCCGCCAGTACTGCCCCGGGCTCCGCCGGCCGCCCCCTCCGGGCCCGGGCCGGCCGAGGCCGCCGCTCCATCCGACTTCGCGGCCATGTTGGCGGAGCGGGAGGCGGGGAGCGACTTCCGGGCGGCGGAGGGGGTGCGGCGTAGGGAGGACCCTGCGCGGGCGGCTCCTCTTCCTCCTTCTCCTCTTCTTCCTCCTCCCCTCCACTTCAATTATTCATTCTCCTCGGCGCCGCCCCGCCCCGCCCCCACCCGCCTGAGCTGCGGCCGGACGGGGGCAGCCCCCGGGAATGGGGGCACAGGGGAGGAGGAGCGCATCTCAGGTCACCCTTTCCCTCCTTCCTCGGAGGCTCGGGGCTCCAACCCCATGCTTTCTGTCTCTCATCTCACCCCGGGCTGCACTTCCTTCTTTTTTCCTTATTGCCTCCCCCTTCCCATCCTCTCCACTTCGTTTTTCTCCTGTGTTCACCTCCAGTGGCCTGGGTCTGATGGGGGGTGGGTGTGAGTGGGTGGGGGACTTGGAATAAAGGACCTGGGGGACTTGGGCGGGCCCCCCAGTAACCCTTTAGCAGTCATTCCATGCTAATGCTCCTTTCCAGTTTCCTGAGTCTTCACATATTGTTCCATCCCCTCCTTTGATCTTTAGAGGTCCCCTTTTCTTATTTTGAAGCTGAGAAGGCTGCAGCTCTGAGTTACTGTCTCTTCCTTACTCTCTCTTTTGCCTCCCTCCGGGACTTCCTTCATCTGGCTACAGCCCTAGTAGAGTAGCAGCGGGAGGGAAGGGGACAACAACCAACATGAGAGGAAATGGATGGGAGGAAACCCCGGGTGGACGAAAGAGCAAGTGCAAAGGCCTGGAAGCCCGAGATTGGAGGGCATGTCTTCAAGCAAGTCTGGATCTCAGATCCAGGGGAGTAGAGAGATGGGGAAGATGGGGCTGGAGAGTTCTGAGGATGAGATGCTAAGGGGCCAGAAGGTGGCCTTTATCCAGCAGGCAATGGGAACGACTGCAGAATTTGAGCAGGGGAGTTATATGGTCACATCAGGATTTAGAAAGAAGACTCAGCTGCTAGAGTAGAGAATGATCACAGGGAAGCAGGCTGGGGCCGGTGAAACCAGGAGATTAGAGCAGTAATCTATGAGAGGGGATGGGGTTCCCACACATCCTGGCTACCCCAAGCTCATCTCCCACCTCCACCTTTGATCAGATTGGATCGACCTAGGCATTTACTATACACTCATGAAGTAGTGTCTCTTTGCCTGGCACTGTCAAAAACACTACAATTACTAACTCATTTTACCCTCGCAATTTGTGAGCTAGCTCCCTTTTTTCCTCCCGTTTTACAGATGCGGAAACTGTCACAGAAAAATTAATTAATTTGTTCAGGGTCAGCTAGTAGAAGCTAGAGCCAAATTCATGCCCATTATCTGACTCCAGAATAGGCTTTGCTACCCTTCAAGGGGAGGAAGAAAGAAGGGGCAAAGGGTAGGGGGTGAAGAAAGAGGAGCTGAGGAAGGGAAGTGGGAGGAACAACCTGCCTCAGAGTGGCAGCGAAGAGAGGATGAAGGGAAGACAGCTGCCCTGGGTCAGGCAGAAGCAGCCATCTGCAGTCCTGCAGCCTGGCATCCTTTTCATGCCCAGGGACTGTTTTGGTCTCAGCAAAGCTTAGGAGGTTGGGGTACCAGCTGTTGCCCAAGGTTGAAAACAGAGGGGAAAGAGTTAAGCATTAAGGGAGTTTTGCAGGATGGATTCAAGGCTGATAGTCCCCTATTGACAGGCTTGTTTAGTGAGCAAGAGTGTTTGTGGGTCGGGCTGGAAGGTCTGAATCCCAGTGTAATTTAGAAAGGAATATCTCTGCTTTTTCTTTCTCTCCAACAACCCTAGGCAGGGATAATGAAGTGCACAGAGCCCTGGATGGTGGCGGGAGAGGAGAAACTCTGGCCCCCGCCACCCTGAGAGTCTTCAGTCAGTTCTTGTATGTGTCTGGATTTCTTCCTTTACACTGGTGTCTGGGTAGGGTATGGCAAAGTTAGAATCCCACTTTTGGGCCCCATCATCTATTTTCTTCACCACCAAATCTTCTAGTGCCCAGTGCTATGCTGGCCACTCAATAGGTATTCCACAAAAATCATTAAGTGAATGAATGAATGAATGAATGAATAAGTGACTGAGTGATCATCCCTATAAATAGATTCTAAGGCTGAGCATGGTGGCTCATGCCTGTAGCCCAGCACTTTAGGAAGTGGAGGTGGATGGATTGCCCAGGAGTTTGAGACAAGCCTGGGTAACATGACCCCATTTCTACAAAAAATACAAAAATTAGCCAAGTGTGATGGCATGCACCTGTAGTCCCAGCTACCTGGGAGGCTGAAATGGGAGGATCACTGAAGCCCATGAAGTTGAGGCTATAGTGAGCCATGATCATGTCTGTGCACTCCAGTCTGAGTGACAGAGTGAGACATCATCTAAAAAAGAAAAGAAAAAAAAAGGAATAGATATCCCTATTTTATAAACAAGGTAACTTATTCAGACAAGAGCAGTGACTTATTAATTTTTTATTTTTTTTAGACAGAGTCTCGCTGTGTCACCAGGCTGGAGTGCAGTGGCATGATCTTGGCTCACTGCAACCTCCGCCTCCTGGGTTCAAGTGATTCTCCTGCCTCAGCCTCCCGAGTAGCTGGGACTACAGGCGTGTGCCACCACGCCCAGCTAATTTTTGTATTTTTAGTAAAGACAGGGTTTTACCATGTTGGCCAGGATGGTCTCCATCTCTTGACCTTGTGATCCGCCCACCTCAGCCTCCCGAAGAGCTGGGATTATAGGCATGAGACACTGTGCCTGTTGACTTATGGAATTATTAAGCCCTTCTGAGTGTCAGGAGATGTGCTAAAAACGTAACTAATATCATCACATATTATCCTCAAACCAGCCATTTTTTCAGGTAGAAACTGAAATTCAGGGAGGTACTGTCACAAGGCCATTTGTTGGGAAGTAGCAGAGTTGGCATTCAAGAACTCTATGCTAAAAGTTCAGGCGACTGGAGGGAGTGACAAGGAGAAGGATTTGAAGTGTGGACTGTCAGGGGTATTGTATAGCGGACTCTACCCTGAAGGAGTTAGGACTGGTGTGTTCCAAATGGCCCACCAGTTCAGAGATTCAGACTAAAACCAATAGGGGTACACAGAGGTGATGTTCCAGTGGTGGGGGCCAGGGTGGGATCAGCTTGGGCAAGGGCTCTGCAATAGGACGGAGTGAGGCAAGTTCAAGGGCTGAAAAGAGGCTGAGTCTGTCTGGTGTGGTGAGAGAAGGCAGCCACAGCTGGTCAGAACTGGAAAGGTCCTTTGGGATTTCATCCAACTGTCCAAGTCCCTCTCTCATTTTATAGGCAGGGACTCTGAGGCCCAGAAAGAAGTCCCATATTTAGCAAGTGGCAGGAGCCAATCTGGGAGCCTTTCCCTAGTCCCCCAGATCTCTGAACTTTGTTGGGAATCACTATTGTTGCCCAGGCTGGAGTGCAGTGGTGTGACCATAGCTCACCGTAACCCTCAAACTCTTGGATTCTCCCGCCTCAGCCTCCTGAGTAGCTGGGACTACAGGCACACATTCCATGTCCAGCTGGTCTTTAACATTTTTGTAAAGATGAATTTCACTTTGTTGCCCCATCTGGTCTCAAACTCCTGAGCTCAAGCAATCCTCCTGCCTCAGCCTCCCAAAGTGCTAGGATTACAGGCATGAACCACTGTGCCTGGCTGGGAATCACTTTTACAAACACCCCTCATCATGTTTCCTTGCTTAGCCTTGCTTCGGGATCCTGCTGAGGGCTCAGCTCTTGCCTACTGCACTCTCTGCTTGAATCACCTCCCAATAATTTTCCTTTAGCTTCAACTAAAACATTTGCACCTGTGCAAACTATGCATGAAAACACTGATACAGCATTGTTTATAAAAGCAAATAGTGGGAATGACCCAAATGCCCATCAGTGGGAGAGCAGCTAAATAAATCATGAGACTTCTGACAATGGGATGGCGTGTAGCAGCAAGCTCTCTATGTTTCTGATACAGAAAGGCCTCCTTGGGGAAAAGCAAGGGAGAGAACAGAGGATGAAGCTAGGTGAAAGGGGGAAAAATAATCTATAGTTTTATGTGTTTATATATGCATAAAGAAACTGGAAATTTCCATAAGAAAATAAAGAGATGACTGAAGGGGGATCTGGGGAGAAGGGCAGGCAAGGAGGAAAGGGAGGCTTCATGATATATGCCAATTTATGATTTCTTTTTGGAATCATGTGCTTGTATTTACTCGTTAATAAAATAAAATAACAATAGGGACAGCTGCTGCTCAGCTCCTGCTGGGTGTTGTAATTGGGAATGGGTGGTCAGTCTGGTCAGATTTTTTAATTATTCAAGAGAAGCCAGAAATCTGGATTTTACTATAAAGTTTCTTGATTTTTAAGCATTGGCTCCAACTTTTCTCAAACACTTTTCAGGCCAAATAAAAAAGTTAGCAGGTTAGGCTCAGCCTGAGGGTTACCAGCTTTCAGCCTCAGCCCTAATAGCTTCCTGGAGTCCTTAGCACCTCAAGTTAATGTCCCCCTGTGGGCAGCTGCAGGACTGAAAAGCGCCTTGCCCTGCCCATCTTTTGCCACCCTCCAACCCCTGCCCCTTGGAGCTGTGACATGTGGGGCTTTTAACTCAAGATCTGGAAGGCAGAGCAGGGTTACAAACTCTTAGATAATTCCCTCCCTGAGGGCCCTGCAGGCATCAAGGCCCAGCTGCTCCTGCTACCCACCCATCTGTCCCTGAGAGGTGGGGACAGGAGTGGGCTGGCAGGGAGGGGGTGGGCAGGAGTCCCCGATCTGAGCCTCAGATCACCAGTTCTGTTCAGACCCAGAACCCAAGGGAGAAACCTGGGGATTGCGAGAAAAGAAAAACAGTGTGGCTGGCTCACCTAGTTGATATGTTCTGAGGTCATTCACCAAATTACCAAATCCTAAAGCTGCAAAGGCTCTAAAGGAACATCTTGTTCAACTCCCGTATTGGACAGATGGAGACACCAATCTCTTCTCCCCACAACATTGCCCCAGGCTTGTTACCTCTTTCCAGGACAACTGGACTGTCCCTGACTCCTCACTGGGTTCCCTGCAGCCCCTCTTTCCTCTCCTCATGTTCAATCTCCACCTTCAGCCAGACAGGCCTTTTAAAAAGGGACATCTCATCAGGTCCCATATCTGCTTAGAACCTCCAACTGCTTCCTGCCTCACTT